ACACTTCCCGAATCCGGACTGCCACAAAAATTTTTTTTGGCAGAAAAATCCGCAATCGCACTTACAATAACTAGACCAACGAGACGGGTAACACGGGTATTAAGGGGATATAGTAAGTCAGCTCAAATTTAATTTCTAATTTCGTCCCCACTTGCCCGCGCGTCGTATGCTATGTACCGACATGTTTGTAATCACTAATACTGTAAGTAGAAAGGTCGTTAGACACTTATTTCATTAGGTTTATCATATTTATGCCTGTTTCTTAACGCCAAGCCACTCGCTTCTTATTTTTATTACGGTTATTTCCCATTTTAATTTTACGTCGTCCTGTTGCGTAATGTATATTCTGATCGTAAGCGACACAACCTCCTCCTTCAAAGGCCGAAGGGAAGTGACCGGGCGGCAGTAATCACGCTTCAAGAGGCCGATAGTTTAGGTAATTTCTTTTTACATTGAAAATAATAGTATTTAAAAAAAAGTAAATAACATAAGCACTGCTTTATAGTTTGTTCAGTTAGTATGCAAAGTTTCATGATCTTATTTAAAGTATTTTATGAATAACAGCGGTTTATTGTTTATTTTGGAGGTAACTTTGGATTTTTTTTTCTATCGAGAAAATTTTACGAAATCGTGTTTTCGTCTAACATAATCCTTAACATTAATTCTCAACTTTACCATATATTTATTTCAAAATTAATGCTGCAATATTTTCGGCATAACGAAGGATCTTGCTAAGCCATTTGAGATTATATTTCCCCTTAAATACAACAAATAAGTTTAGTGAAAAACTACTGAAAAATTAAAAAAAAATACTTTCTATCCTTTTAAAGCTAAATAAAATTTATAAATTTTTATAGCGTTTTTTTTTTGATAACACATATTTTAAAATATCCATAAAATTCGGCATAATGCATTATGCATGTAATATATAAAAATCAGATAGATTTATAAAAAAATTGTTTTCACAAGTTTTATATATTTTGCACGACCTTAGGAAACAAAACGATGTTGTGAACCGCACGCTTCCCGCCCTTCGCGGTTAAGGCTTTCAGAATTTTCTCACTCGTGTACCAGCTGCTGCGTATATGTTGGCTTGGAACTTAATATTAATTACACAAATTATTGAAAATTACATTAATCATATCAGCAAACAGATGTAGTCAACGGATGCATCTATTTTTAATTGAAAAGCTGTAATAAGTAGCATGTACATAATATAAGAGCCGTGGTAGTTTACGGGATAAGCGCCCACTATAAATTTCACAGTAGATACGCGAGTAACCCGGGTTCGATTCCCGATGGCACCAATGTAATTGTTAATTGCAATTTTAAGTGCTGATTTACAACGTGCTCGGCGGTAAAGGAAACATCGTAAGGAAACCTGCATGTCTGAAAATTAGAAAAATAAAATTTTGAATACATGTGAAGTTCGCAAACATCAATTGGGTTAGATCAGCGGACATTTCTTTGCCTTGAACCCCTCTCAGAAATGAAAGAAGGCGTATGCCTTGTGGCGTTAATAAGCTGTAACAATAATATGTATTATTATAAGGTATATAGAATAACGGTGACAAATTGTCCTCCTGATGGTAAGTGAATTTTTTGACCCATAGACATCTACATCTGTCTTCAAATGAGACTCAAAATGCGTCCTCGTTTCCAGTAAAAAGTGTTTCCGGTTCTTCACACTCATTATACAAAAAACAGCAGCATTAAGCTACTATTTTATTCTACTGAGCAGGTCCATTCCTGCAACAACTATTTTCAGCTCTATCACGAGCTTATAGCTCATTAAATATCGAGTCCGGTGACGGGGAGCAGTGTTTCAGACTCTCGGGTTAAAAGTGTTCTGTTACTGAACAGCCGACAAAATGTGACGATTACGCCAAATCCATTGTAGATACCTTTTAGTGGGGGTATGTGAATATTAGTTGCCCCATATGATCCCCTGAATGTTGTAAAAGGCGACAAAAGGAAAAAAAAACCAGGAGATTGAGAGCAGCGTCTACTGATCGTGGCAGCTATGGGATATATATATATATATATATATATTTATATATATAATAATATATATATATTATATATACATATATATGTATATATATATGTATATATATATATATAATAAATATATATATACATATATATATATAACACGTACAAATATTCCCTTTATAAGGCAATCTATGAGGAGTCATGTTCAGCAGTGAACTTTGATGGGGTTTGGAATGATGATGATCAGTGGGACAAGTCTAAAGAGGACTACAGGCACTTCCTGTTTCAGTTTCCCGCTTTCGCATTTTACGCCATCCACACGACGTTAGCCCAACTGTGTAGTGGCGGTGTCAGAATTGTTTTATATTTAAAAGTAAATTTATATTAAAATTAGAATATAAATTTACTTTTAAATATATAATAAACTTTTTCTTTATAATGTTCTCGAAAATTTAAATAGTCCAATGAAAAATGACATGAAATGATATGACATTACGATAATTATTAGTCAGATAAAAGTTATCCATTAAACAAACTATAACCTGATTTTTTTTGTTTGTAAACTGCCCCCACGATACAGGAGAAAATCCTAGGTAAGTAGAGGTAAGGTTAAAAAAGAAAAATGAAATGAATATAAAAAGTGGAACGATAGAACTATTTTATTCACACAACAATAATTTCTAATTTGTTTTTGTCGTACCTTAACCTAAAAATTACTTTTAGCTGATGATTGAAAATTCGGCACTTAAATAGTATATACACGTACTTAATCGCCCGTTTAATTTAATTTTCTTAACAGTCATACGCCTATACGTAGTCCACTTAGAAATTTTTGCGAAACTAAAAACATCTCGATTTCGTAAACGAATTAAGACCTGATACGCCGTCAAAGTGGAAACTAGTGATCAAAATCTTCCTCGAGCTTCTTTTCGCGTTTTGCTTTAGTAAGCGTTAGTTCATTTTGATACAGTCAAACCATCGACTGTCGCTTTGTTTCTGGATCATGTCTTTAACTCCAAGATTTATAACTTGTTAAAATGATGTAAATATGCTGAGATGAGCCTGCTTCAAATTTTATATCACGGAACCATTCCACGTGGGCCTGCTTCTCAGCATCAGTTAGTTTGTACAGCACCTAACGCGAAACTTTTATAGAATAAAGAGGAAAATTTTTATAGAATAAAGGTAACAAACGAGCACACAGTCCACCTGATGGTAAATGGTTGTTGTGGCTCAGAGAAATCTACATCCATCCGCGATACGAATCTGAATTCTGATGCGTTGTGACCCGTGAGCACTAAGATGGAAGGCCTCGATTAAAGTGAAAGGGGTCTCCGGTTTTCTACACTCACCATACGAAACACAGCAGCGTTAAGCTGCTATTTTATGCTGGTATTCTGTGAAAGCATGGTCCTTCGCCGGTCGAGCCGAACCACTCATGCTATTACTATAATATAGCTGCGGCATGGCTCTACCATGTATATCTTTTAACTTGTAATTTTTGTTCCAAATGTCCAGTCTCAGACAAAAAAAAACTTTATTCATAAATCTTTCTGCGTGGCCTGACGTATTCACACACTCCTATTTTTTTGAGTCGATTATTTAAGAGTAAAAAAATCTTATACGAAGCTAGTAATATCTTAATTTTATAGTTATATTTTAATTTTAAGTGAAAAGATGAATATATGTAAGGTTGCCTTTGGTTTAAGTTTTAGTACAAGTTTCAAAACAAATGAATATATTAAACGCCAGTCTTTAAATTATTTAATAAGCCACATTTTAGAATTTCATGTGGGCGAAACCTCATGCTAACATAAACATGTATAAGCCTCTCCTCAAGCGCTGATGTATCATCTCGTTTTACTAAATTCTACGTTGCAACTTTGTCTGATTGCGCACCTAATTGGCAATTTAGAGCACAATGCACGCCAGTTCCGTTTAAGTCATATTCCATATTATTTCAATGAGTATTATCCTTGACAATGGTCCCGAAAAGTAAGTCACGACTCTTGTCCGCAGGCGCCCACCTGTGCTCGTGCACCAAATTGGGAAATATTTTAATTTTTTCAATAATTCCACACTCTTGGCACAAACCGGCGTAATCGTGAACAGGAAAAAGAAACGTTTAAATTTAAAACATGCGTTAATAATATATAAATTACAATACGCTTGTAAGAACAGCCAAAACAGCCAAATTAAATTTCGAAACTATCAATACACATGTAATTTTTGAAATGATATCCGAAAATTACGTCGAAATAATAATCATTATATTTTTTACTTATCACATTGAAATGAAAAACAAGCTAACAGTTGAGCTGCAGCAGCGTATCTTTAAACAAAGGAGAAAATAGAGAGTGCACCTGTGCTTGTGCAATGTGCATACACTTGGGCACTATAATCCTGTCTGGCGCAGATGGCCAGTCTTCATTGAAGACTGGCCGCCGTGACCGATATTAGGTCTAGAAGACATTATTATTATAATTTTTAATTGCAAAAGCGTCCGTGCTTAATTTTATCTTACATAATTTTTTTGGGTATGTTCCGAATGACGTCATTTATTAATTGAGGCCGTATTCCACCATATTCGATGCAACGAATCACCAATATGGCGTCGATTTATGACGTCATTTGCATTGGCCAGTGTACTGGGTTGTATTTTGGAACATACCCTTTAAATACGAACGGCTCGATAACGCTATAGCTAAACTTTTGGCCGCGACACAACGGATCCGCAGGTTTGAACCTCGCACGGATTAAGTATTTTTGTATGGCCTACAAATAATCTATTCGATTTTTTTTCACGATTCATGATACCGAAGAAAATCTTAAGACGAGGAACGTTTAACGTTTATTATAAGCAAAAATAAAGATTCGTTCACATCGTAATATTCAATTAGATGATTGATAAGTATATTAAGTAATAAGTAAGGATTAGGTGAAATAAAAAAACAATAATACATTTATTTCAAAATCAACCAGAGTATAACAAAAAAAGATCGCATTCAAAGCAGAGTCACGTCATCGGGGACGACTATAGTCGCTTGGTTCTCGCCGAACATATCTTCGTTGGACATCATCTCATCGAGTTCAAGCTTTACGACTACGCTCCTCACCAGAACGATTACGTAGCACTGCATCACTGTATAATAATAAAAAGCTTCTGCTACATTTTAAGAGCGTTAACATACTACAGCTCCGCTTTCGGTAACATAAGAGCACAACCTGAAAGTTGTTTATTACTAACATGGTCTTAAACTACCCGTGTCTATCGATGTACTGCATATCTTACCACGTCACTTTGTTGTTTATATGTATATGCACAATTATATATAAAGTTACAGTTTATATTCGCCCCACTTCTAGACACAGGGATCCTATAATTTCTTAGAAGCTTATAGACCACTTTGTCCACCGAGCTGCCACAGTGCATGCTAGTTGACTTCGCATACCCTCGTAATAATTTATTTTTCAGATATTCCGAACCTCCTCGCGATCTTTTCCTTAACTACTTAAATCAACCCATAAAATTTCTATTACAATTTCATTGGTGCCAGAGGAGATTTAACGCGGGTTACTCGTCTACTGTGAAATTCCACAGTAAATTCCAACCAGTGTTCAGACTGTCCTACACTCCACTTACCAGAGCAAGGGTGCCATTTGAGCTAGATAAACGACTCTTTGCCACTTCAGGTTAATGATCCATTAGGCTATTAACTTAGAGTAAACATAAGCATAACCTGCTTATACTCTAAGGCTAATTACGTTACTCGTTTACTCTGGTAATACTGTTCTATCTTCGTCATGCATTAAACTATATTTCAAATTTCTTCCTTTTTTTTGGTTAAATTTATTTACTTATTCAGAAAATAACCTAGTATACGTTATTTCACTAATATCATCATGATCACAATTAGAAATTTTTTTAATAAAATGAAAGTGATTTGAATTTTTTTTTTAAATGAAAGTGATTCCGAGCATTCCACCTAATGATAAAGTGGACAACTTCTATTGGCTTCAAACAATGAAGGCTACATGTGTATCATCTCTAAGGACTCAAAAATCCAGATATATTATAGCTGTGAGGCGTTCCTTCGTTCTCGGAGGTGGCAATGCATCTGTAGCTGTCTTTGTTTCAACTTGGTTGCAGGTGTCCATTGTCTATGGTTCAAAGAAATAAAAATCACGCCTATGAAGTCCTGAATTTCTTAATAGTACAGACAGTACCTGTCAATGTCATACTTTATGGGCATGCACTAATTAGGTCGGCATGCCCATAAAGTATGAAATTCAGTACTTCATAGGCGTGATTTTACTGACAGCTGTCGAAGAGATCAAGCTATCTTTTATGAACTATAGGCATTTATGATCAGGTGAACTAAGTTGTTCTGTCACTTTAATTTTGTTGAAAAATAATACCAGCTTTTTGTCCGCGTTAAACTTTAATAAGAATCTTGAAGATCTATTATAGTGGTCTTTTTAAGTATCCGCATTTTGATACTTAATCGAGAATGAATGTAGACTATGTGTATGGGCCACAGCATTCACTTACCATCAGGTGGATTATGTGCTTATTTGTCACACATATTCTGTATAAAATAAAGTATTCCAATTATCGAAAAATTACTTTAAACTCAATCTAATTGCGTACCACCTGAACACGCTTTACAGTTTCCTTCTGAAAATGGTTCAGATACAAACATTAAGTATCATTTGTACGATAACCATTAAGCGAAGCAAACGGTATTTAACATAACTTACATAGAGTAAACAACGCTGTGAAGACCTCAAATAGCAATCCACGAGACAGCAACAAGAAAATAGGCAAGAGAGCCGCCAGGGTAGTAGCCGTTGCGTAATAGTTGTACAAACGTAGCATCAATATATCTTTCTGAAATTTAAATGAACGCATAAGATCATTTTGAAGATTAATAAGATTTCTTATACGTGGTATAGCTATGCTGCAGCTATATGGTTGTATAGTTGTAGCACGAATGGGTCGGCTCGACTGGGGAAGGACCACGCTCTCAAAAAATACCAGCGTAAAATAACAGCTTATGATGTTGTATTACGTATGATGAGTGTAGAGAACCGCCGATCCTTCTTACTGGTATAGAGGCATTCCACCTTATTGCTCAGGGGTGACAATGCATCCGCATTTTGATTCGGAATCGAGGATAGATGCAGATGTCTATGGGCCACAGCATCCACTTGCCATCAGGTGGACTGTGTGCTCGTTTGTCATCAATCTGTAAAAGGAATCTGTACTAAATGCAGCGTAGGTCACGAAGTAACAGTCCATGGCATGTCTCCATATTTTAAGCTAATTTTATTGACTTATATGGCCAATATAATCATATATTGGCTTTATAAGTCAATTAAATCGTAAAATCACTTTTCAACGTTATATTGAGCCAGCCTGTGAATATTTATAGATAATCTATACGTATAATAAATCTGTAGAAAAGTCGTGTCTGTAATTCTAATATATTCTTGAAAAACAATTCCAGGGGACTAGGTAAAGGGTACTGAAGCCAAAATAATGGTTTTTATAATTTTGTCTTTCTGTCTATCTGTCTGTCTGTGTATTCACGATTCGGGCAAAAACAACTGGACAATTTCCATGAAATTTTGTATGTAGGTAGTAAAGTAAAGTAAAAATAAAGTTACAGCCAATATACGTCCCACTGCTGGGCTCAGGCCTCGCCTCATTTCTGAGAGGGTTTAGGGCAAGGAAGTGTCCGCCGCGCTGCCCAAATGCGTGTTGACGAACTTCACATGTCTTCGAAATATTTTTTTGTTATTCCTCAGACATGCAGGTTTCCTCACGATGTTTTCCTTCACCGCCGAGCACGTGGTAAATCAGCACTTAAAATTGCAATTAACAATTTCATTGGTGCCGGCGGGGATCGAACCCGGGTTACTCGCGTTCTGTTATATTTACAGCGAGCGTTAACCACTGAGCTACCACGGCTCATGTAGGTAGTAACCCCGGGCAACTTATAGGCCAATTTTTATCCGATTACAGAACTTCAAAAAAGAAGTTTAAGTATTTTTATTCATTTAGATGTTAATTTTCTATTATAATTCTCTTAGTTACAATATATATGCAGGATGACTGGTGTTTTTTAAAATTAATAAAACTAAGTTTCAAATTAGTTTTAATCTTTGTTTAATAATTTGAAACTACACCTACTATTACTACTATATTTTAGTTTTAAAAATAGCGCCATCTATTATCAAATAGAAAAAGTACATTTTTCCTACAGTTACTAATCAAATAATATAAAATATGACTCAATAAATTACATGTAGATGTTAAAATAATGAGATATATCAAATTATTCAAAAATCCTAACGTTTATTTTTTTAGCTTTTTCATTTTAAAAGTGTATATATAATTTAAATAGATAATAGTGACGTTTATCAAAAGTATGAAAATTGATATAGTTTTTATTTCAATTATTAATATATTATGTAAACTTATTTAAACTGGTCTGCCTGCAATTATTGCAAAATTCTCATTATCCTTATAGTTTGATCAAAGATATTTTTATATATACGTCGTGGCCGTCGTAGACTGATCATTTATCGTAAAGTAGTCTATCATATTGTGAAATAGTAGTAATTTAACACTGTTTGTTGACCATGTCATAATATAGCTTGTCAGAATCAATGAAAAGAGTTCGTTTGCCGATATTAATAACTCAACAACATTGCTATTTCATGATGTTATGGTCATATCGTCAAATAGTTTTCCACTGCTAGCGCTAGCTATACGAGTATAATAAATAAATGTTCGCGGCTTTCCAGTCGCACTCCAACCTTCTATCACTGTTATTACTAAATGGCATAGTTTTGGCTTTCATCATTTCATCTAAATCTAACTTCTAAAGAAAATAATGATAAGTCACTGATAAAATTAAATAATAAATGTTACTGAATACTTATTCGTTTAGAATCAAAACTTTAAGTACCCAGACCGGTGGCAATCGTCGGGATGATTTAGGTACTGCAATTACCACGTTTGGTGAAATGACTAACGATACTGTTATATTTAATACTGCATACAAAAAAACAGTGATTAAGAGAGAAGCTCTTTAGTTGAAAATATTGAGTGTCTATTGGCATAGCTTTAATTTAACCAATTTCTAATTGTTATCAAGTTATCTGACGTAAATAATTGAAAATTAAGTGCGCTGTGAGATTTTTAACTCTATTTGATGGAATAGTTCCTGTCATCGTTGGATGTCTAATGACTAGGTAGATATAGTCAACAATCGTGCAAAAGCTTTGTTCCAGTTTTTATGAATTATATCTAAACAATTACGAGAGCCGTGTAGCAGGCGTTATAGAAAAACGTGTACGATTCCTTCGAGAACAAATAATATCTATCATAGGAATTTTTACGTGCTGACTTATCACGTGTCCAGTAAAGTGGTGCAAATAACTTCGTGGGGAAATCTAGATGTATGAGTAGTTAAAAAGTATTTTAATTACAATTTGAGTTTTGTTTCAATTTGAATTTACCACGTTCGTGTGGAAAACATCGCGAGGAAATCTGCATATCTGGTTCCCCAGTTGAGGTCATACCGTGTTAGGGTCAGTGCAGCGAAAACTTTTTTGACCAAAAAGTGGCTGCGGCCTGTGCCCAGTAATGACAATGACGAGATGGAGGTTGCTACTCTTTTACTTCTAATGGGGCAATTACGTGTAGATTTCATCATCGCCATCATTACAGCCTATCAAATGTCCACATAGGCCTACCCCATAAATTGCCCAATAGGCTGAATATTTGCTATGTCGATATGAGGTGGAGAATTCTCTTTCGCCACCACAACAAGGCGAACATTTTTTCTACTCCCGTTCATGACAGTGGTTCTTCCCACTGTTTCACTATGAATAGACCCTCGTTTGGAATAAAACTAATTTTAATAATTTTATCGCGTTTAATTTTAACTTTCTTAATACTTTTCATGAGTGGTGGGGGGGAACTGAGGTGTTTTACGTCCTGCTGTCATAGTTAACGAAGGCTATAAGTATTGCAGCAGTAAGCTTGGGTTTAAATTTAATTGAGCAATAGCACCCAAACATATTCTATATTGAAATTAGGATGTTTTTTTAAAAATTCCAATAACCTCGTAAATTATCCTTGGTGGAAATCGATATGCTGTTTCACGTGGGTTTTAATGGATCTTTCATCTAAAGATGCGTAAAAATAACCCACGTAAAAAAAAGATAAAATTAAATGCAACAAAATTGATAAATTTAATTTTATTCCATGTGTAGTATTTGCGTAAATAGGTATAAAAAATTATTAAGAACTACATTTATGCAATTTTACAGTCTACTCAAACGTAAAAATAATATCAGCATTTATTTTTGATGCCAATCAATATTAAATGGGACCAATGGTATGAATCAAATATCGCAAATAAACATCATACCGTAAATTAATGGACGACTATGAAAGGACAATGGCGAACTCCCAAACAAATATTATGTGACTTTTTTCTTGCGTCTACAAATGCAAAATGTGTAAAAATGTGGATTTTAAAATCCTGAACATTTTTTCTTCGGTCATATTACTACAGGAAGTCAGGAATTAAAGATATTCCAGTTTAAACAAAATACACATCAGACTAGGCTGTATGGTATAAAATGCCTTAATTGGCAAATCGTTTCAACAACAGCTGTCAATATAATTTTCATATATGCTTATATAGGGTTATTATTGGCATATAGGGATCCTTAAAGAACGCATTAGTATATATAGAAGAGTTTCCTGAATAAAATACACGTCAAACTCGGCTGTATGGTATAAGACCTTTGCCTGTCTTAACTAACGAAATGTAACAACTACAACAAGTAGACAATGAAGTTTTGAATTGTGTATGATGATATTTTCCAGACATTCGGTAGAATCATATATATTACTCTACTCTATGGGTAGAATCCACTAGTTAGTCTGTGTTCCAGACTTCGATACGATTCGATAGACCATAAGCTTGATTAGATAATAAATAGTAAATTATATTATTGATATCTGTAATAGTGACATAAGTAGACGCTTAATAATTCCATCAACAATTTGCCACAACAACTATTTAGTCAATTTAGTTTTAAATTAGGTAAGATGATTTTTTTCCAGACTTCGATAGGCCATGAGCTTGATCAGATAACACAAAGTAAGTTATTTTATTGATATCTTTTATGGTGCCTTAAGTAGACGCTTAATAATTCCATCACATATTATTAAGATATTAAGTCATTGCCCTTTATCATTGTTTTGTTAAAAATAAATTAACTTTAATGATGAAAGAACGTAAAGTGTAAAATGTAAATACGACGCAATTTTGATTCCAAAACAATTGACCTTTTATATGGATACATTGGAAGACACGCCTGATATAAAAAATAGTAGGTGTATATAGACAAGATATTAATGCAATTATGAAAAACTTATTTATTCACGTGTTCCTGTAACATATTATATCTATGCCAAATATCAATCATCTACGTCTTTGAGAATTAAAAAAAATTCATTGACAAACAGAGAGACTCAGACACAGAGGTAACTCTGATAGTGATCGCATATTACTAAATTTTGCACGAAACAACATTCATTAATGTTGCTAAATTGAGGCACACGCGAGCGAAGCCGCGGGTAAAAAGCTAGTAATTAATAGTTTTGAGACTCGTTGGCGCTGTGGCTAAGCATAGCGATGCCGCACTGAATGCCGTGGTATCGAATCCCACACGGAACATGTATTTTCGAACAGAATCCAGATTTATATGTGTACTCGTAAACGCCTCCACGATACGGGAAAACGTCCTAGTGTAGAAATAAGGTTTTTTTTTTTAAATTGTATCATTAAAGAATAAAGAAAGAAATATTGTTTAAAAATATGTATTTAAACTGATAAATTAATATTTACGTAAGTACTTATACTCTTTATGATAATAAGTGATTTCACAGGATTTTTATATATTGGTTGTTGTATATTATGTTATATTTTGTTAATCACATTTGGAGCATATGATTAAAACATAATTATAGGTTATAAAACGTTATTTTGATTTTTTTGTGTGGTAGTAATCTAATATCTCTCTAATATAAGTAATCTCTCTAATATCTCTAATATAAGTAAATCTCTCTAATATCTCTAACATAAGTAAATCTTAAATGTTTTATATTGATTTATTGTTTTATATTATATAAAGTTGACTATGCTAGTCGTTGACTTTTTAGTACATAGAACATAGATATGTTAATACTGCACATATTTAGGACACTTTTTTTTCCAAACGAAATGCTGAAAATATACTTCCGCATAAATTGCCCCATTACATTGTTGCCATGCTTTGCAGGCGGGTTTGCAACATCGGTTAGAGTTGTCAATCATTATTGAGTTAAGCACAAAGATGCTCCATCCCTACTCCAGCGTCCCTTTTTCGCTTCTTACGACCTACAAAACGATATATGTAAGTTAATTTTCTTACGCACCAACTACACGGCACTTACATATTATAGATGATTTTAAAATAGATTGCACATATAAAACTTAATGGAAAAGTGGATTAAGGAAAAGTTATTAGGTAGGTGTACGTATAATTTATTTTTGATAAGAACAGTCTCCTTGTTACCTGATATCCAGCCACAAGCAACAGTATATTCAATATAACACCCATCCCAAGGATGCTGAACAATACTGTCGAGGTCACGACTTCCAGTGACGTGTCATTTGTTATCGACAGCTTCTGCAGCTCCGTTTTGATAACGAGACAGGTCATCGCGAGGAGTGAGAATATCTGCGGTGTGAAATAAAGAGTTGTAAATTTAAGTCAAGTAATAAATTGTTTTTAATCTGTTCTTACTTTGTTTTAATGACGATACTGCTTAGCGTGTAGCATAAATGCTTACTGAGCCGTTTGTCAGAGTTTCGTCCAACGGCTAACTTGAAGAATAAACACTATTCTAATACTCGAAAATAAAATTTGTTTATTTTTTACATAATTATAACATCACTACAGTTACCTATATTAACCAATGTGATGCTATAACCAAACTAAATGTTTTATTTTTGGTTTTTTTTTAATAGGAAAAGGGTGACAAACTGCTCGTTTGCTTGACAGTCTACCTGATAATAAGTGATTGCTGTAGCCCATAGACATTTACATCTATCTTCAATTACGAATCAAAATTCAAATGTGTTGTCACCCATGATGGCTAAGATGGAATGCCTCCTTTCCAGTAAAAAAGTCTCCGTTTCTCTACACCCACCATACGAAACACAAGAGTTAAACAGTTAAGCTGTTATTTTACGCTAGTATTCTGTGAAAGCGTGGTCCTTCCCCGGTCGAGCTGACCCATTCGTGCTACAACTATACTATGCCTCGTTGGTCTAGCGGTTGTAGTAGTGCGACTGCTGATCATGAGGTCCTGGGTTCGAATCCCGGGTCTGGCCAAAAATCAATTATTGAGTTTTTCTGTCAAGAAATTCTCAGTAGCTGCCCGGAGGCAGGAAGTTGGCAGTGTCTCACCCCCGAGCATCGGCAAGCACGTAAAGCCGTTGGTCTTCTGCGCCTGAGCCCTCCCTGGTCGTGTCGGATTACCGTCCTATCGGACTATGAGAGTAAGAGAATAGAGAGTGCACCTGTGCTTGTGCATACACTTCGGCACTATAATCCTGTCCTGCGCCGTTGGCTAGCCTCCGTTAAGGCAGGCCGCCGTGGCCGAAATTCGGTCTGAAGGACATTATTATTATTTAATGTTTTCTTATATTTACGCGAACATTGCACATGATTAAAACTACTTTTACAGATTTTATCGCGTTTATTTTTTACTTTTTATTTTTAATTCCCGACGTTTCGGGCGCTTTCCAGCACCCATGGTCACGGGGGACTGAGATGACTGACGTCCCGATGTCATTGTTAAACCCGGAGTACCTTCAGCTTTTTTTAATTATTGTTTATGGTCCGATCTATGCAAAATGAACTGACTATGTCCTGAGGTCTTGCAGTGGTATGCTTGGGTTTAGTTTTAATTTTATTGATTATAGGATCCCAAGCAGGTGGTAGTACCCAGCCTCCTTCTCTATTGAAATTAGGATGTTTTGTAATTTCAATAGCCTCACGTATCATCCTTGGTAGGAATCGGTGTTCTTTCGCGAGGATTTGTGGTCTATCAAATCTGATGTAATGTTTGGGGCCGTCTAGGATATGATCACAAACTGCAGACTTCCCGGAACGTTGATGCTTCACATCAGCTATATGTTCTTTTACGCGGGTCCTAATTGATAATTGATTGACGAGGGATCTGTGACAGCAAACACCTGGCCGCCGAGCTTCAGCACGTCAAGCAAGTTCTGCACGACAACAAGCTTCGGGTCCCGCGCCTACGTCACAGTGACCGAGTGAAGCCGGCCACAGTCGAGCGTGTGCCTGCTGTACTACCATATGTCAGAGGTGTCACAGACAAGATTGGCTATATCTTGAAGCGAGCTTCTATTAGAACATTCTACAAGCCGCCGAAGAAGATTAGTCAGTACCTACCATCCGTCAAGTGTCATATTCCTCTACAAGATGCAGGAGTGTACAAGCTTGATTGTGAATGTGGTCTCTCTTATATAGGATAAACCAAAAGATCAATTAGGACCCGCGTAAAAGAACATATAGCTGATGTGAAGCATCAACGTTCCGGGAAGTCTGCAGTTTGTGATCATATCCTAGACGGCCCCAACCATTACATCAGATTTGATAGACCACAAATCCTCGCGAAAGAACACCGATTCCTACCAAGGATGATACGTGAGGCTATTGAAATTACAAAACATCCTAATTTCAATAGAGAAGGAGGCTGGGTACTACCACCTGCTTGGGATCCTATAATCAATAAAATTAAAACTAAACCCAAGCATACCACTGCAAGACCTCAGGACATAGTCAGTTCATTTTGCATAGATCGGACCATAAACAATAATTAAAAAAGCTGAAGGTACTCCGGGTTTAACAATGACATCGGGACGTCAGTCATCTCAGTCCCCCGTGACCATGGGTGCTGGAAAGCGCCCGAAACGTCGGGAATTAAAAATAAAAAGTAAAAAATAAACGCGATAAAATCCGTAAAAGTAGTTTTAATCATTATTATTAATATTATACTACTAATATAACTGTAGCATGGCTCTACCACATATAGCCAGAGACCAAATGTGTATTATGTTATTGTACCATACGCTCTTAGATCATCTTATATTTACTTATGAATCCAATAAATTACTTTGACTTTGTCTTATAAACCTAGGTCTGTCACCAAAATCAGTAGACCTTTTATGTATTGAATAACAGATTTTTTTCATTCATAACTTATTATATAAAGCACTGTTCTATTTTATCTGTGCTACGTTAAGAAAAGTTTTGAATATAGACTACCTCAGACTTTATACAAATGTGTGTGTAATACGATTCAGCACGTAAGAAATTGAAAACGATTACGGCAACAATTTCCGAACACTGTCGGAAACTATCCACAGCATTGTAGATTTGCAGATTTTATATTATTTTATTGTAGACTAAAATGCAATATGTCACCGCTTATCTTATTGATAAAAATCTTACCCATGAAGCTGTGCAGTGCCAGTCACCAGCCAAAATTAGGGATATTTATGCAACTCTTATATCATCTTGCGGGCTATCTAATGCACATGAATTGTGGGACAAATATAAAGAGTACATGGCGGAAGATATTTTGCGAAGGTTACAGCAGACACACGCGAACATGACATACAATGAACACATTTATAACGAAGCACTTGGAAAAATTTAAGATAAAGTAATGGCAATGGTAGTCAAAAATTAAGCGACTTTGGAATGATAAGGACATATTGAATCACAAGATATTACGCATAGCACAAACACAGTAAAAACACCAACAATTTGTGCATGTTCTTTTGTACAAAATATTCACTCTGGCTGTTTTTTTTTTAACTCAGAACACTCTTATTCATGTACTATGATCAATAATATATTTGAATAATAATTAGTAAATACTACCAAGCACACAAATCCACCTGATGGTAAAACAAGTATATCCACATCTATCCTCAATTAAAACTCTAAATGCGGATGTCTTGTTTCCCCTGACGCCTACGAAGAAATGCATCAAGCGTACTAAACACAGCACGACTATGATGCTATTTCACCCTAGTATTACCCGCTCGAGCCAACCCATTCATGCTGCATCTCGATCGCTTGAAGATAAAAATATAACATTAATGTAAGTAGGTGGGTGGTCTGAAAAGTTTCAGACCTATTAAAGATACAAGATTTTTTTATTAAAATTTATTTTTATTTTTCTACATTGTCTCCTTGAGTACATACTTCTCCCAGCGATGCTCCCATCGTTCCAACCCGTCCAACCAAAATAGTACTCGGAGTTTACATTTGACGAAACCCTCTGTCCTCCCAGCGCAATATTTAGATGTGGGAACAAAAGGAAATAGCTTGGGGCTAGATCTGGTGAGTAAGACCATAGAATACTATATATTATATATTATGGTATTCTATGAGTAAGACAGATAATTAAGCAGTTCAAACCGTAGTTCGTCGATTTTCGCCATGGCAACCACTGAGGAGTGAGACAGCGCGTGGTCATGGTAAAAGAGAATTTTCCTTTTCGGCAAATATCGCAGTTTTTCAGCAATTCCTGTCTTCACTTTGTCAGGTAATCATGCTCCTGAAATAGTTTTTCTTTTTTGTAGATAACTCCATGACTATCCCAAAAACAGTCACCATCACTTACCCAGACGAAAAAATAGGCTTTGCTTTTTTGGAGCCGGTTCCCCCTTTGCAGTCCACTGTTTTGACAGTACTTTCCCAAGTTTCATCCACAGTTATTAACAAGCGCCAAAATTCAAATTTATTGCGCTTATTGGAAATGTTCACTCGGGCACGTTTTTGGTCTAACGTGAGCAAAAACGGCACCCAACGCGCTGACGGCTTTCTCATGCCTACATCTTGATTTAATATGTGACAAACACGTTCTTTGGACATTTTTATAGACTCTGCTATCTCTCTAACTTTAATTCAGCTGTTGTCTAGCTCCATTTTGCTATTTTATCCATTTTCACAAAAACACTCACATCGACTCACTCAAACGATTGGCAAATAACATCTACGCCTCCAACATGACTGAAACTTTGGTGCGTAACTGTCAAAAGATGCACAACTACATTCACTAGCTTTCATTGACGAGTGCTGCCATGTTTACGTTGAGGTCGGAATCTTTTCAGACCACCCTGGTGAGTAATTGACTGGCTCGTTTGCCTAGTAGTCGTAAACGTGATTACTGATAACGAGATCCTTGTCCCGTGGTCAGGAAGTGATGTTTCACCCCCGTGCCTCGAAAAGCACGTAAAACTATTGGCCCTGCGCCTGATCTCGCTCCGGTCGTGTCAGGTAACCATTCCAACCGACTATGAGAGTAAGGGAATGAAGAGAGCCCCTGTGTTTGCGCATAAACTTGGGCACTGTAGTCCTGTCCCGCGCAGATTATACGTGGTAGAGCCATGCTGCAGCTATATTATTAGTATAGTTGTAGCACTAACGGGTCAGGTCAACCGGGGAAGGACCACGCTCTCACAGAATACCAGCGTAAAATAGCAGCTTAACGCTGCTATGTTTCGCATGGTGACTGTAGAGAAATGGAGAGCCTTTTTACTGGAAATGTCGCATTCCACCTTAGTCCTCACGGGTAACAACGCATCTGCATTTTGATTCGTAATCGATGATAGATACAAATATCTATGGGCCGCAGTACCCAATTACCATCAGGTGGACTGTGTGCTCGTTTGTCACCCTTATCCTATAAAAAAATGGCCGACGCTGAGACTGGCTGCCGTGACCAAAATTCGGTCTGGAGGACAAACCTTTAGGCATTCTCTACCAGTCAATCACGAACTAAGCAGAAAAACAGCAAGTGCCATAAAAATATGAAAATATATGTACGTGAATATAAATATAAAAACATCCTTAACATATGTATAAATACACCTATAAATATATATTCCTTCAATTAATAACCTAAACAAAATACTCTGTACCTGATACATAGGATAGTATATTTTTAAATAACACATACTTAATACACATTTTAAGCATACTTACATACCAACATATACAATATCAACATATTAAATTTATAATATCAACCAATACATAAGCAGAAACATTTAAGAAAGTTTGCCATTGGAAGAAGAAAGGTAGTGAACAGCCACCATTCTCTTAAAGGCAGCAACAGAAGTTGGTTTCATTAAATGTGGAAGTAATTTATTCCAAAACCTTATGACCCAAGCGGCGAAAGACTGAGATATAAATTTGGTACAGTGAGGAAAAACACATCTCTTAGAGGATCGCAGGCTACGATCGTAAGAAGAATCTAAATACTGAAACTTGCATTTCAGGTCTTGGTTACTGCGTCTAACGTAAAAGATGAAAATAGTGTATGAAGTCGACGTTATACGTGGTAGAGCCATGCTGCAGTTATATTAGTAGTATAATTGTAGCACGAATGGGTCGGCTCGATCGGTTAAGGAATACGCTCTCACAGAATACCAGCGTAAAACAGTAGCTTAAATGCTGCTGTGTTTCGTATGGTGAGTTTAGAGAACCGGAGAAACTTTTTAATGGAATCGAGGCATTCCATCTTAGACCTCACGGGTGACATCGCATCTGCATTTTGATTCGTAATCGAGGATAGACGTAGATGTCTATGGGCCACAGCACCTACTTACCATCAGGGGGACTGTGTGCTCGTTTGTCACCCTATCTTATAAAAAAGTGATGCATCTATCTATGCCGACAGATAGGGAGCCGTTTAAACTTAGAACGATATAGAAATATACGATCCTGTTTACGAAGACAACAAATAAAACGGATGCAATTATTGAGCAGACGATCCAATTAGTACAGACTTACATCAGGGTAACACACGTCAGCATAATCAATGACCGATAGAAAATAAGTGTCCGCACGAACATTGTAAGGCTATGTCTCGGTTGGGAGGAAACTCTTAAAACGATAAAGACCTCGTAGGGTGCTCGTTACTTTCTAGCTTATTTCAGCCTCCTGATATTACCAATTTAAATTAGCATCAATCATTAACCTAAGGTCTCTGACTATATGATTAAGAGAAATAACTGTGTTGTTGTAAATAATAGGTTCTAGAGAATTAACCATCTTTGTGGACCGCCAGTAGTCACACCGAAATTACTTAAACTCTTTGCTGACGATCACGAATATAAGAAGATAACTAATCCAAAACTTACGAAGATAAACCCATGTATTTACAGAAAGCAAGAAAAATGTCATGATCGACTGTACAGAAAACATTAGAGAAGTCAAGAAACCATGTTCAAACTTTAAAAAATCTATTTATTTGTCGTTGATTCTACTACTAAAAACTCCAACACGCACTGAACCAATAGCGCGACGGACTCAACTACTTTATAACCCACTAAGAAATTAGAGAAAGTCTATGACAAACTGGATTGATTGATAAGTTCGGTATATCATCGAGATGGTAAGCATCTCATATGAGCTGGTACGAATACACAGTGGCTCAGCGTTCGACTGCTGATTATTTGGCTACGGCTGCTTGTTCGACACAACAATTATCCCAATAGCCAATCGATAATTGTTTCGGGTGTGGATGTTCGTTGGAGTATAATTTATCGACTATGATTTATCTATTGTTAATGCCTGTCTGCAGGACAGTTTTGTTTCATAAAAATTGTTACATAATGTGTATAAAAGTTTTTAATAAGATACCTAAAGCGATTAGTTACCAACAATGATAGTAAAAAATCACCTAGAAAATGGCTCATCCAGCAATCTTTTTACACAATTAAAGACTTTGCACATAAGTAGGCGATACATTTAAAAATTTGACACAATGTTTAAAATAATGTTTGAATTATGGTAATCTTATAAATTAAAAAAAAATTTATTTAATTAATAAATTTGATATAAATATTGAAATAAATTAATGACAATTCGATAGGTAGGTATGTAACATTTATAATTGACATTATATTTATTGACATAAGAACAATACTTATACATATCTTATGGCAATTGAACCCTACACTGCATTCAGTCCCATAAGTGGGTCAACCAATAAAATTGATATTTTTTTCTGATTTGAACCAAGTAGCGACGTCTATAATTATGCAAATAAATTAACAAGAATCATTGGCACCCATTTAGTGTATTCATTGAAATTAGATGGCAGCACTATCTCTCTCATTCAGTCATTCAATTGAAAATTTTGAACGTTAGCCTCGCGCCGTGCGTATTCAATTTGCAAAAATAATAAATAATTGTTGTTTACGGAATGCAACAGTGGATAAATTGTTTTTATGTCGAAATATCTGTGAACTAAACAAATGTAAGTATATTTTTCTGATTTGGTCGTGTTTTGATACTAAATTTTCACAATTTCTGTATGTTCCCAATGTGTCACTTCATGCAGTGATGGTCCAATTTTAGATATGTTGACCAATGGTGTGATGTTGTTTTCTTTTTAGATAATAGCGAAGAAAACCTTATCCAGCGCTCAAATCCAAAATTATTTGACAATACCATTAGGCAGTGAAGATGAACAAGACTCCTCAGACGCTGAAAATGATGATGACATTGACGTAATTCGATCTACCGTGAACAAACTTTGTGAAACGTTTAACGATACGGATGACGAAGAGGAATCTGTTTCACTGAATAAGTATGAATTCGCTTCACCATTATCAGGGTCCTGTGGCAGTGATATGCAGCAGCATAATCAAATCCTAGTGGTACAATTCCTGATGTCCCAAGTACATCTAGGTCAACTGCTTCGCGAACACGTCATTGAACAGTTGTATCTTCCGCGTCTACTGTGCCAAAAGACGCTGCTCCTACTCCTGCTGTATCCGTCGTCAGAAAAAAGCGAAATATCATCTGGAGAAAAACATTTCCATCTAACAAACCGTGAGTTTTGTGGGCAAACCGATTTAGAGCCACCGATTACTGAACTTGAAACTCCATTGCAATATTTCTTGTACTTCTTTGATGACGATTTTCTAAGCCATATCGTAGAAGAAATGCATAAGTTTAGTGTACAGAAAAACCCATCAAAGCCTTTTTCTACAAGCGTTACAGAGCTGAAAAAGTACATAGGTATCTGTCTGCTAATGGGCATTGCCCCACTGCCACATACTCGAATGTACTGGGAAACTGAATTAGGTTTGCCATTGATAAGAAATACCATGTCGGTAAACCAGTTTGAAAAAATTCGTCAATATCTACACTTCAATGACAATACCACTCAGTCACCAGCAGGCATTGCAACACACGATCGTCTCCATAAAATCAGACCTGTGTTAGAAACCCTAAAAAAATGTCATAGATATCGATTGCCCTCAAATTGTTCGCAACTACAATCACCATATGGGTGGAGTTGACTTGCTCGACTCATTCTTGGGAAAGTACAAAATAAAGATGAGGACAAAGAAATGGTATTTGAGACTGTTTTACCATTTCCTCGACACAGTCACCATAAATAGTTGGTTGCTATATAGAAGAGTTGGGGAGATGCGACAAAGAGCTGCTACGCCGCTGAAGTTGAAAGACTTCAAGGTTCATCAATAAATAAGAAAAAAGGCCGGCCGTCTTCTGCAAGTAATGATCTGATAGAGGCAAAAGAATGAGAGCTAATGTAGCGATTCTTCCTACTCGTGACGTCAGGTGTGATGGAGTCGAGCACTTTCCTATATGGGGACAGAAGCGCCAGAGATGCCAGATCCAAAAAAAGAATCCAGGCTGCAAAGGAAAGTCGTTTGTTGTGTGCGAAAAATGCAGAGTCGAACTTTGTTTAAACAAGGATAAAAATTGCTTCCATTTGTTTCACCTCTAAATAAATTTAGGTAGGTCACTGCATAATGTGCCACATATGGAACTAAATAAAAAAAACATTTTTCTCTATTACTGTTAGTTTTTTTTAATTTACCTATACTTCCCGTGTTCTAGACCACAAGCATGAACTGGTAAGATTTTTTTTTTTCGAAAAAAAAAAGTCATGCAGTTTAGGGTTATTTTTCTGACACTGTTGCATAATTAGTTAATCATTAAATCAACCGTATAATATGTAGAACAAATTATACTCGAACACCATTGTACAATTATATTCTTGCAAATAAAGATTATTATATTATTATTATTAAGTATTACGTTATTAATGCCCTTGTGTGGAGGGGTACGGTTACGAGATAAGACTAAGTATACAAATTTGTATACAATTAATGTTGGCCACTACATCAGACACCAGTTACACTGCGCTTCTTTTGTGATTTCTTTATTTAAAAAATAAAAAAAAAAGAAACAAACGTCTTTAAAACACGGGTTTTTAAAAAAATAAAAAAAAATAAAAGAAAAAAAAAATTTAATGTGATTTATGGGCAACAACATTTTTACCTATCAATCGACCCTTACGAATGTGTGCGTGGGCAGTAAATCAGTTAAAAATAATGCATTACCACGCATTTTGTATTTAAAAGATAACAAGGACAGAGTGATTGAGATTTTTTAAATTCATTATTCTTCACCGTATGCCTATATTACTTATACTGAAGCTGCTCTGCACATTTGGCCTGTTATTGCATAGTAACCCTGCATAATTGAGAGTTTGACCAAGTAACGAAAATCGCTGTTATTAAATTTTTAAATAACACAAGTAATACAATAATTCATGCATTCAAATAATGCTTAAACTTACTAAATTTATATATGCAAATATTATGATCCCGCGACGCAATGGACAGCAGAAACAACACCTTTTTACTTCAGGCACTTTTATATGCATTTTAATTTTATATTCTGCGACAAACTGTGTACTGAGTTCACACTTGCACTAATTAAATATAATAAGACGTTTATCTAAGTATATGCTAAAGCACATTCATTTTGCAGCAATAAATAATCTTGACCTCAGAAAACATTAAACGTCAGTGTGAATCCGTTTATTGACCCCTTATTATTCATAAGTACCTATGTTATGCATATGAGTATATGAGCGCTTTAATTATAAACTTGCTCAACTACAAGCATGTGTTGACTTTTTTTCAATAACTACAGGAGTTAATTGTACCCATGTTGGAGGTTGGTAGAGCAACTAGTCCACCGTGGTACTCGTGTCCGTTGGCTAACTTCACATGTCCTCAGAATATTTAATTCTTCAGACATGCAGATTCTCTCATTATGTTTTCCTTCACGCCAAGCGCGTGGTAAATCAGCACTCAAAATTGCAATTAACAATTTTATAGGTGCCTGTGAGGATCGAAACAACCTGGTTTCTCGTTAGCGTACTGTAAATTCACAGCGTACGCTTAGCCCCTTAGCTAGCACGCATTACTTGAATAGGACTATATCATCATCATTACAGCCCTTCACAAGTCCACTGCTGAACATAGGCCTCCCCCAAGTAATGCCACAAAGCACGGTCCTGAGCCACCTGCATCCATCGAATTCCTGCATGTCTTACCAGGTCGTCACTCCATCTAGTGGGGGGTCGCCCTACACTACGCCTACCGGTACGAGGCTGCCACTCGAGAACCTTTCTTCCCCATCGGTTATCGGTTCTTCGAGCTATATGGCCGGCCCATTGCCACTTCAGCTTACTAATCCGTTGGGCTATGTCGGTCACTCTGGTTTTACTCCGGATATCCTCATTTCTGAGTCTATCACGCAGTGAAACTTCGAGCATAGCCCTCTCCATAGCTCGCTGAGCAACCTTGAGCGTCCTCATACGGCCAGCGGTGAAGGACCACGTCTCAGATCCGTAAGTCATCACTGGCAACACGCACTGGTTATACACTTTAGTTTTCAGAGATTGAGGTATACCTGACGAGAAGATGTGTCGTAATTTCCCGAACGCTGCCCAGCCGAGTTGAATCCGTCGATTGACCTCTCGGTCGAAGTTGTACTTACCTAGTCGGACTATTTGTCCCAGGTAAACGTACTCGTCAACAACTTCGAGCATAGTGCTCCCAACAACTACCGGCATAGGTGTGACATGGACATTAAACATGATCTTTGTTTTGTCCATGTTCATCTTAAGACCTATCCGTTGGGAGACACCATTGAGGTCATTGAGCACAGTGATTCTCATTCTCATAGGGGTCCTCCAGCGATTCTGCCATAAGGACTATATCGTCGGCAAATCGAAGGTGAATAGGACTATATAAACACTATTAATCAATTGTAATCATAAGTTATATTATTAATATAATTTATGATTACAAAACTAGATCGATAACACTTTACTACTAAGACAAAATGCAGGAGGTGCTCTTAAAAACTAGGTAAGACACATCATTTTGTTTTATTCAGAGATGGTTGCAAAATACTATTAATATCTTAATTTAAATATTTTATTTCATTTGGGGAGCTTACAGCTACATTAACAATCTAGATCACTATATTAAAATTTATGTGCCAATAAAAAGTTTCGACATATAGGAATAGTACATTCACAACAAATCTTTACTCAGACACACTACTTACGAAATCTATTGTAAGAGTAGTTTAATGTTCATAGTACCTACTATGTATCACAGAATAAGTCTAAATCGTAGTTTCCAAAATACTTATTAAATAACCTCAAAGCTCTTGGTATAAAACTGTTACTTCTATAATTAGTATAACAAGTTGAAACATGCAGTAATATATTTTACGTAGTTTTTTAACAGGGCTCTTAGTAAGATTTTACTTGAGAAGCTCCAGACAATCCATTTTACTTTGTGCCATTTTGTTAGAAAACAGACGTCAGCTATATTTTTGCGTATGTTTAAACGCAGTAGGTGGTCTTATGCAGCAATCTTCGTAATCAGCAAAAGGTAAATTAAAGTTATAATGTAAGAAAACAGTGAACTTCTTTTGGAGTTTTCATTGTTCTAAATTGTTTGACATAACGTTCGACGAAGCCCAATAATGCTTTATAAGCTTTGTCAACAATGTGATCGATATGGAGAGTAAACATTAGATTGTTGTCATGAATTACTCCCAACATTTATTATGGATTCATTCATCAGAATTCGATTTTTAAGTTTATAATTAAAATAAAGATTATTTCGCTTGCGGGAGTATGTAACGCAGAAACATCTCAATACATTTAAGTCTAATTTGTTATCCCTACAATAAGTATCTAATATATATTCAAGTTATGCTGTAAAAGATATGCGTCCGAGACAATTTTTATAACTTTAAAAATTTTAAATTTTCTAGAAACGATGACTTAAAATATGATGAGGGAAAATTCTCTTACGTCTGCACAAGAGTCACTTGAATTATTAGCATAAGTCATAATAGTAGGGTATGAAGTACTGCCTCGATGAATTTATATATGACTAAAACAACTTTGGGCGATAAGCAATAAACTCTTCAGTCGTGTTAACCCTTTAACAGTAAACACCATTGCGGCCTTCTAATACTGCCCGGGCCAAAAAAGTTTCATATTTTACTTAATTCGTATTTTCTTGTGTTTTATGGGAATAATGACGTGTTTTATACAAAAAAAAACTATAATACAACGTTTTTCTCACCTAAGTTTATAATATAATATAACATTAGTGCTAAAGACGAAGTAATAAGCTCGGTTAAATATGAGAGTACCCAATTTTCGTAAAAAGTAATTAAAATAGGTACATAAATTTCGCAACAAAAGTGAATGAAAACGCACAAAACTCTGGAAAATATTAAAAATTATTTATATTTTTCGATACTCTGATGTTTTGAGCAATAATAAACAAGAAAACACGAAATACGAGATAAAATGAACAAGCACTGAATTGGTGCGATTTAATTGACGATTTTCGACTGGAAAATCTTCGAATTCGTCGACGATTTACTGATTAAATATTATTTGTTATCTAGCTAGATATCTAGTAAATATGAACAGGTTACGAAACCGGCAACACAGTGAATATTAGACAGCCACAGCGGCTGTTTGGACTGTCCGGTGCACGCCATCTCGGCGTTTTTGACTATCGAAGGTTTAATGAATTTGAAGTAACAACTTTTTTCCACCTTTTTGGCTCTGCCCCTTAGTAAGCATAAAGTATATTGGTCACGTTTATTTCCGTAATTATTAATTTTTTATAGTATTTAAAGTTTTCATTAATGATTTTTATTAAAGTCGAATTACCACGGGGGATATTTATAGTCTCGAAATTGGCGAGTCGGTATAAGTTTTTGTCTAAGTTGAGCAATAATACTATAGAATTGTTCCACGGTACTTTCTAGGCTAATATTATTTAGCAAATAAGACCAGTTAATAGTCGATGTCACTACGAATCTTGTCATAGTCACCTTTTGCATAAGAAAAAACAGTAGGTACGCTTGACTAATTTAAGTGGTTGTATATGTAAATGAACGTTTATACGTGGTGGAGCCACGCTGCAGGTATATT